GAGTGGATCATTTCATAATCGCATTTTCATTGGGAAGTATCCGTGTAGTGTCGTCTACGGTCGTTTTTCCATTCCTTGACAAGGATGGGTGTAGCTGTCTCTTGTGTGGAGAATGCCGTCCGAGATGTAGACACTGAATGTGGTGATTGGGTAATAGTAGTCGGTCAATCGCTCATCATCGGGATGCTTGTTGTTGCAGGGCCCGTTAGCTGCATCGGTCTCGAGTGTCCAGGGTTGGCGTCGATCTATGGAGGATGCACACGTGGCCTATTGGGATGCCGATAAAAAGTAATTCCATCTTCAAGGGGTCAATGACGGTCACGGGTTGGTTCCTATCAGGATTGGCATTTTTGGAGTGTTCGATGGTCACGGTGGGCAAGCAGTAGCATTGTATGTTGCGAAACATCTAGTACCGGTTTTGACCGATCGAGAAGCGTAGGTTACCTTAATCGAGACCGTATTGGGTCACTTAGAGTCCGGATAGATACCGCCAAGGGAAGTACGAGAGAGCCCTGCATGAGACCTTTATGGAGCTAGATAGGCTTATGATGACTCAGAAGGGACAGAAGGAGGTCAGCGCGGCTCGGTTGTCGTTACCACATCAGGTTTAATCAGGTCACTATGCTTGATAAGGAGGCGCAGGCGGCGTGTCCGGATCCTATCATACGCTTGCCTATTGATGCGGTGAGTTGAATACTGTGTGATGTACTAGGAGAACAGTGGTTCAGGTCAAGAGTGACCTGCTAGCTTTGATCGGTGGGGACTCTAGTGATGAGGACTCGGATGACTCCGATGATGATAGTGAGGATAACAGTGTAGGAACCTTGTGGGAGTATATGCATGTAGTTGCCTCCTCAGCCCGAAGTAGCCCCTAATGAGGAGCCTAGGGATGCTGATATGAAGGGAGAGGAGGGTGCTGCTGCTACTGGTGATGGACCGGATGGACGTAGACGGAGTACTAGGATTGCCGCTACCAGTAAGCAACGATATTATGAGGTGGAATCACCTTCATGGCTTGTTCAGAACAGCGGCCAAAGAAGGACAAGAAACAGGTAGGAGTTGTGCTATATGTCGTTATTTGAATGCTCAATTGTATGCATTCAGCTTGCACTCGACGGTATATTGTTTCTACTCGAAGTCCTCATACCGGACCTACCGAAAGACCTGAGTAAGACTCGTACATAGTCTCTCACTGTCTATGCTCTCTCTGTGGGTGTAGGGTCCCGTGTGGAATGTACCGATGATGGCTTTTTGGAACTGCGTCAGTCTACCTTCAATGACGTTATTGGTAGAGACTCTTCCCCTGAAGGGCAGGTGAGGTG